GCAGAAATACATTCAAACACAGTACAGTTCAGAAATACATTCAAACACAGTACAGTGCAGAAATACATTCAAACACAGTACTGTGCAGAAATACATTCAAACACAGTACTGTGCAGAAATACATTCAAACACAGTACTGTGCAGAAATACATTCAAACACAGTACAGTGCAGAAATACATTCAAACACAGTACAGTGCAGAAACACATTCAAACACAGTACCATGTTGAAATACATTCAAACACAGTACAGTGCAGTGCAGAAATACATTCAAACACAGTACAGTGCAGAAATATAGTGATGGAGACAATGCACAAAAGTGTATTACCATACTTGACCGCGTTAGCACCCAGATTCCTCAACTCCTAAAATCAGTTTTTTTTAGGGGTGGGCGCTTACCCGAGCACCCCCCCCCCCCGATCACCCCCTCGGTCACCCCCTCGCAAATGACAATATTAATTCACCGTGTGACAGATGAGGGGGATATTACGTCTTTGAGGAAAAATAAAATTACTAAATTAGGTGCGTCGTCATTGACTCTTACAATGAAGAAACAGATATGGTCAAATATGCACATTTATTATAATATTAATTACGTACCACCCGAATTTACGAGATTACAAATATTAGAGTCTGTTGGAACTTAGTCAAAGTCAAAATCTTCATCATTATCGCCACTTACGAATGTGTTGGATCATATGCAAACTCTCGATAAAAAGCTCTTTCCGCCAATATGTATTTGCATTTGACCTGCATCAACAGCCTTTGACCTAATAGGTCAAGTCTGTTATTATCCAATCAAAATGCTGTGTTGTACTGACGCAATTCTTCTGATATTTCCGAAGACTTTCTGGTAACTCAATGCGAAAGTGAATCATTGATGTCAAAGTACGATCTGTTGGAATTGATTTCGGTGAATAAACGACAATTTTTTATAGGTAAACTTAATACTGCATGAAATGTTACTGTTATTAACAGGTCATTGTCGAAGCGTAGTTTATGCACGGCTACCGTTGTCTAAGCATTCACAACATATTCACGGAGGTTGATATCCACGCTGTATCATGATATAAAAACGATTACCAAGTTTTAAATTAGTGCCATTTTGCCGAGTGTGACGCGGAATATAAAAATTGCACAAAAGTGGAGGGTGGGCGCTTGACCGGGCATGGGCGCTAACGTGGTCGAGTATGGTATATCATGTAGAGTACATGTAAGAGGGGGAGGTCTACAATGGATTTTTGTTATTTTTTTACCAGAACACAGTTGGGCTGAATAATATGTGCTGCTTACATTTGAGCAATTGTTGTGTTTGAATGCATACAATGCAA